GGCCAAACTAAATCCGATTAGAAAATGCCAAAGGAGGCGCAGATACCAACAGCAGCAGCAGCAGCAGTCCATAGATACAAAATTATTTTTATAGATTAATCAACGAATTACTTGTGCAGCTGTTGCCGCAATCCCATTTCCATTTCCACATCGTATACGATTTATTTGGCTTAGCAATAAAAATGAGAATTTTCCGCCAAGTATTTGAAAATATAAACATAAAAATCGTTGGCGTAATGGCTTTCTGTATTTAATTAAATGTTTATGCCATGCATTTAAACTAAATCGACCACGGTCGAATCTTTAGCTATATATATATATCTATAGCTGTATCTGTGTATCTGTAGTATCTGTGTATCTGTCTGTTTTGCATCTTAATGGGCAAGATTTAAGTTGGCGCTGTAAAAACTACTTGGGGAGTACTTGAATGGCCCCGCTTGTGTATTCTCCATGTGCGGATCGGTTCGGTACGGTGCGGATCGGTGCGCATATATAAAATATGACTGAATAATATAAAACAGAAGGCGATACATCAAAGCGGATTATACAATTTATTTCTGCTTTTATTTCTACCCGCTTCTCAGTTGGGGATTCGTTCTTTTTTTTTATTTCTTATTCTCTCTCATTTTGGTTTCTTTTGTATTTCTTGGCTTCGGGGTTTGTTTGTCTGTTCTGAAAATATATTTCTTCATTTTTATTTTATTTATTTACTTTCTTCGAAGATGTTGTATACAGAAGAAAGAAATATAAAATGTGGAATGTGAATGCAACAGATGCAGCGGCTACAGCGCTTAAAGATACAAATGTATCTCGGGGTCAGAGACACACACACAAACGCACACATGCTGGGTCACATAATAAATTGTATTATTTATATTATTTTATTCTATTCAACCCCCGTGTGGTAAACCCCGGGAAGCCCAAATGCCCAGATACAATAAGTATCTCGGAGATATTTTCTCTGTCGGCCAAGGCAGCGCTGTCAGCGTCGCAGCCGGCGTACAGCGGAAGCGTCAGAGGGCATTCTCAGCTGAGTCTGAGTGACGAGTGTAATGACTTTTGTCGATTGGGTTAAGTGGCTTGTTGGCTTCCTTTGCTCGCACTCACACAGATACTCACTAACACCGGCAGGGCCATCAAAGGCACTCGAAAAATGCAGGGATCATTGGGAATTTTAAGGGAGTTTTAAAGATTTAACAGAATTTTAATTTAGTTTTAGAGAAATAATGTAAGAAAATATTTGAAAACCTAAAAATAAACTAAGAACAATTTTTAAAAATTTCTTTGTATCCTTTTTATTTTTCAATTCAATGGAAAGCTAAAACATTTACTATCTCTGAAAGTATAGTTATTATATCTATATCTATATATTTATATTCTAAGCCTTTCCCCTCTTAATTTCTTTCAGTGCATTGTTCGAGATGCGAGATTCCTTTTTGAGTTGCATCTTTTTTCAATTTTTATGCACGCCACTCGCTCCCTTTTTTCTTGATTCTTCACCTTTTTTTCCTGTATTTTGTTGAAGTAGTTTGAATGTGGCACGTTTAGCTGCTGACTGCCCCCCGCACTCCCTTTTCCTTTTACTCTGTGGTAATTTGTCTACAGCATATATATATTTTTTTGTGGCAGTTTGGGTTGCAGTTTTTGCCTCATCGAAAAAGGTAAGCGACACACGCTAATCATGAGTGTGAGACTCTCGGAGATTCTCTCCTTTATTCCTCTGTTTACTGCCCCCGGTTACCCTCCCTTTTCCACGGTGCGGTTTGGCCCTCATCTGTGGACTAATTGAGTAGGAAAGTGGCAAGGAAATCGAAAGGGAAAACTCTGCGGGATGAGGGATTGATTACAGATATTGATTGTGTTGATCAATCAGCGGAACATTGATGGAGTTCAATTTTTACAAAAAGGAAAATGGGTAGAGGTACTTGAAATACTTTTATCTACAGCTAAAATCGTTTAAAATTGAATAAAATTATTGGTTTCAGAATTTTAAAACCTAAAACAATTCAAAAACCTAACCCTCTAAAACCCATTCTTCTCAGAATTTCTTCTTTGAACTACCTTATTCTCTCATTAAACTTATACTTCTCATAAAAATACACATTTTAAAAAAGTATATTTTAGCCCGAAATGAGTTTTTAATCGCCTTATTGTATGTAATAAAAACTTCCTCTGCGCCCACGCTCCGCAAAAAGTTCAGTGAACCGATCGAGAAGCGAGAGAGGAAACCAATAATAATATACAACCTCTAATGATGCACACACACACAACACAAACACATCTAAATGCGTTGGCAATAAAATATGAAAAACAAAAAAAAAATGCGTAAAGGAAAAAAAATGATTTTCAACAAAGGCAAACGCAGACAAATAAAAGTGCAATTAATCACCAGAAAGCAAAGGCCCCCAAGAAGACTGAGAACCAGAACTCGGAGCTCAGACTCTGGACCAAGACTGACACTTATCGGCTTTATCTGCTTATATGAAAGGAAAGACAGGGAAATAAAATCAACGCATACAATCAAAAAGAGATGCATTCACAGGGTAATGCACTGAGATAAAAATAAATACTAGGATTTCTTTATAATAAATAAAAATATTAAAGAAATCTTTTTAAATATCGTTTGCAACTACTGGAATTAGTTTTATCCTTTCATGTTTGTTATTTATTTTTCCCTTATTTAATTTTCCCAGTGCATATATAAATGGGCAAGAATTATAAATATTAAAGAAGCTGGGAATGGATTCCTTTGGCGCGGCGAGGATGTCGGCTGTCAATATTTGATTTTTATACCCTTGCAGGGTATTATAATTTCAGTCAGAAGTTTGCAACGCAGTGAAGGAGACGTTTCCGACCCTATAAAGTATATATATTCTTGATCAGCATCAACAGCCGAGTCGATCTAGCCATGTCCGTCTGTCCGTCTGTCCGTCTGTCCGTCTGTCTGTCTGTCCGTCTGTCTGTCTGTCTGTCCGTCTGTCTGTTTCTACGCAAACTAGTCCCTCAGTTTTAAAGCTATCTGAATGAAACTTTGCATATCGTCTTCTATATGCTCTCACTGCTATATATGTCGGAACGGGCCGGATCGGACGACTATATCATATAGCTGCCATACAAATGTTCGATAAATTTTTAGAAAAAAAAATTATAACTTGGCTGTTTTTCAATATTTTTGCATCATTTTTGAGATATAGCCATTTTATAATATTCCAGAATTTTGGTAAAAATTTTATGAAAATCGGACGACTATATGATATAGCTGCCATAGGAACGATCGGGAAATTAATAGAAATAAAATTATAGCTTCGTTGTTTTTCAACGCATTTTTATTTACTCTGAGATATAAGTTTTTTTTTATTATTCTAGAATTTTGGTATAAATTTCATAAAAATCGGACAACTATATCTTATAGCTGCCATAGAAGCGATCGGTAAATGTAAAAATATATAAAGCTGGGAATGTAAAACTGTAACTGTCAAACTGTAAACATAATAAGTATAGGTAAAATGTAATGAAACTCTGTTTTGTGAGTGTTTTCAGCATTTAAATCTATAAAATAAACATCAAAACCAATCTGCAAGGGTATACAAACTTCGGCGTGCCGAAGTTAGCTTCCTTTCTTGTTATATATGGCATTGCCTTGATGCCTGGCGATCGCATCGCCGCTAAGCAAACGAAAAATGCATCAATTTTTAATAATAAATGAAATGTGTGAATAAACGCGAAGGAGGAGGAGGAGGTGGAGGAGGAGGCTGGGGATAGGGGACAGGGGAAAGCGGAGAACAATCGGAAAGGCAAACAGCAGGAAAGCATAAACACTAACACCAAGGCAAACAAACAAAGATGCATTTACAGCGGGGATTGCCGGATTCAAATGCAGATGCACAGATGCAGATGCATTTTCCAAAGAATTTCTAAGCACATAAAAAGCAAAGCAAACGGTCAGTTGGGGAAATATTTAAAAAAGCATAAAAACAAAATATTTATTGAAAAGAGACGCTAACGAGCAAACGCTCGGAAAAGTGGGGAAAACAAGCCGCTTCGAAAATTGAGCATATGAGCAGGCTAATGCAGACGTAGCACCTCAAGTTCTTCCTCTCCTGCCCCTTGGCTATTTGATTAATGCACTCAAAAGCGACAATAAACACGGGGCATACGGAGGGAAGAAGAATCTGGGCGGAGAATCGCCCAGAAGATCGCAGCGAAGAGCTTCGGGAAGGAGTCTCGCGCGTCCAGACAAACAAATATGGCATTCCGATTGATGTGGGACTGGGGAGGGATATGGTTATGGAACCTCTGAATGGAGAAGAGATCTGGGTTCTCCAGTGAACGTCGTCGACGTCTATTGGATAAATAAATACAAATTTTTTATTAAAGTGCGAATTCTGCGGTGAGTTCTGCGGTGCTAATGCAGCTCTCTCGAACCGGTCGCTAATTTTACTCCTCACTAAGGAGTAGTGCACTTGGAGATATTTGTATCTTATAAATATTTGTGAAAATGGTTTCTTAGATTTTGAATTTTAATTAATTAAACATTTTTAAATCCTTTATTACAGTTTTTATTTGTCGAATAATGTTATTTTGATCTATGTTTAAAGTATTGAAATCTCCAAACGACTGAATATTTAAATTTAAAATTTCCAATATTTTTTCCCTAATATATCTACCATTAAAACTTATTTTTCCGATCTCATTCGCTTCTGGCCTAATTGAAGCACACTTAGGGAACCACAGACAGATGCAAAATGCTCCATAGATCGAAATCAACCGCAGGCCGCAAGAATTCCGGAATTTCAATCACCTTTCGGTCACCAAACCATGGCGTTCCGTTCCAGTGAGTGCCCCATGTAAAGCGGGGATCGGGGGGATCGAAAATCTGGAGTGGGAAACCTCTGACCATTCTGGAAAATATGTGGCAAAGATCTCTTGCCTGAGTTAAAAAAAAAAAAAAAAAAAATAAAACAGAAAAGGGAAGCGGAACAATGTGCGACGTGGAGCACGTGAGAGCTGTCAATCATTCCTGGGTGTGGACGCCAACAAGAGGCGCTGCGAATGCCGAGGAGGGGAAGTCTCAGCTCTGCGTTCCGCTCATTGTAAGTGACGTCACGATACGATTCGAAATGCCGCCGGCAGAATTTCTGCTGACGAAGCGAAACAAACTTGCAGATCGCCGAAAGGCGCGCGCGAATCGTGAATCAAAACAAACCGCGGAAAAAGATCGTTGAGCGAGGCAGAGCGAGAGAGTGACTGAGAGATAGAGGGTGTGGGAGAGAAGCAGCGCTGCTGCAGCGCAGCAGCAGCGAAAGAGAAAAAGGCCTGTAGGATCCACTGTACTCTTTGAGGGGGTTTAATTTGAAATCAAAGAGAGGTGATCGTGGGACTAAACTCTTAAATGGATTTCTTGAAAGAACAAAATAAAATAACAAAAGTATAAAGAATTGAATCTCTTTCTATAAATTAATATTAGTTAATCTCATAAGGCAATATATTTTGCTAATGAATTTTTGACCGTTTACTATTTGGACACTTTGGTTTTTTATCATGTGAGGGAAATAAATAAAATAAATGGGAAATCATTAATATAAGAACCATTTAGAAAAATCCTTCATATTAATAAATTAAACATATTTTTTGTGATTTAAAATTCAGTGATATATTAAATTTCACTTGAAACAATAGGGTCCTTTGGTCAGGGGAATATAGTAAATATAATATAGTATTCCATAATCTATCACCCTCTTATATCCCTTTTAAATCGATAAATTAAGCTCCACTCACCCTTTCTTCCTCTCGGATCATTTCGGCGATACCCGGCTTGATTTCCATGTCATCGGCCAGCGACGATCCTCCGCCGGAACCCGCCACCCCTGATCCTCCCACTCCAACGCCCACTCCGCCGCCGCCATGATGGTGCGGCGGTGGAGGCGGAAGACGTGGCTCGGCAGGTGGGCCACCTCCAAGGCCACTCAACTCCATAGCAGCGGCCATGGCGGCCGCGGAGGGACCCAAAGGAAAGCGGGAATCGCCCGCAGGTGAAGGCGGGTGGTGGCCACTGGCCGAACTCTGGGCGGGATGTGGGGCAGGTGGCGGCGCATGATGATGCGGAAGCAGCGGCAGGGGCAATGGTAGGGAATGCTGACCGGACTGCTGCTGGGGACTCTGCGAGTGGGGACGCGAGGATCGCGACAGCGGTCCTGGCGTGGCTGCCGGCGAGGGCATGTCCAGAGCATGGATGGCTGACTCGAGACGGCGGGAGCCCGATCCGCTGCTGCCGCTCATCGGCGGCGGCTTGGGTGGCGGCGTCATCAGTGAGCAGTCCCGTTGCCGCTCGCGCTCCTTTTGCTCCAGCTCCATCCGCTCGGCGGCTATCAGGCTGCTCAGTGGACTCGGTGGTGCTGGGGCATTAAAGATGGTGTCTGCCGAGGGCCAACGTCGTTTCCTTACATTCCTGCTCTGCTGCCGTTCCAAGGGCGATAGTCGCAGCTCTGCGGGATCCCAGTCCGTGCGTGACTTCTTCTCTGGCTGCATAAAGGCCAGCAGCTCCTCGGTATCCCTCTCGGTTTCGGTCCTGGACTGGCCTCCACCTCCGGTGGACGCACCACTTTCTTTGGGCGAGGAAATGCGTTCCGAGGCTGCCGCTGCAGCGGCCGTGGCCGCCTCCATGTGAGTCACATCCGCCAGGCCGCGCACCTTCAGCATCTCGGCTATCCTGAGCAGAGGTCCTATCTGATCCTGGCTCACATTGATCTCGCCGCGGTACATAAACTCCACAATTGCTTTGAGATCCGACCAGTTGACGTCGCGCATGATCACGATGGGGTGCTGGCAGGGCGTCTCCGCCAGCAGGGTTTGGAAGTAGGGAGAGCAGGCGGAGAGCACCATTTTGTGGGCCTTCATGGAGCGACCGTCGCAGGCCAGGGTCACGTCCACGAAGCACTCGTTCTGCAGTAGCTGATCGAAGATGGTGGTCAGGTTGGACTGGTAGTTGTTCCAGCGCAGGCAGAACTGTTGCGAACTGGAGCTGGGCGAGGCGACCGAGGAGCTCCGACCCTGGGGCGAGCTCACGGGTGAGGATCCTCCCAGGCCGCCGCCTGTCGAGTCCTTTTCATCGTCCTTAGAGGTTCCTCCTGCTCCTGGGGAAGTGCGATCCTCCGTCTTGATGTTCTTCTCCTCCTGGCCCGGCGAACTGCGATTACTCTTCGGCGATCCTGTCCCGGAACTGGCTCCTTTGCCTGTGCCACCGCTGCGCTGCCTTTGCGTCACTTGTGCCTGCTCGGGCGCCACTACCACATCCGTTTCCGCCTGCGCCGACGCCATTTTGTGCGCGGATCGCTGATCGTTGCTCGCTACTCGCTGATCGTTACCCGTTGATCGTTAATCGTCAATCGTTGAACGCGACTCGCTTTACATAGCGATACAAAAAAATGGCCAAGCGATAAACGAGAAACCGCGACAATTACGACTCTCAACTGAGAGTGGGCATGTACATGTGTAAGAGTGTGTGTGTGTGAGTGTTTGTGTGTTGGTATAGGTGTTCGTTACGTTTACGTTCACGTTCACGTTACGTTTCGCGCACTACGTGGCCATTTGGCAATTAGCTCGCCTCGGTACGTTACGTTACGTTCTTTTAGTTTCAGTTGCAGTTGCAGTTCGTCTCGTTCGCCTCGCTTCGCTTCGGTCGCCTCGTCGTCGTGTTCTGTTCCGTTCTGTTCTGTATGAGTATGGTTATTGGCCAACAAACAGGGCCAAAAGTCTTCTCAGCACGAGCGTCTGAATTAGACTGAAATCGTTTTGCACATTTTGATACGGAAAAACTCAAAACAAACTTAACACACGACGACGACGGCGATGGCGAGGCGATGGCCACGACGATGGCGCTGTGTGGGAAAACTGAGGGGTCGGGCTGTGGCTATGGCTGTGTGATGTGGATGTTGCCACTGCTACTGCTGCCTGCCTGCCTGCCTGCTGCTGCTGCTGCTGCTGCTGGTGCAGTAGTTGTTGTAGTTGTTGCTCTCAGGCGGCGACTGAGTTCGCGACGAAGTTGCGAATAGTTCGCGAATTGCGAGCTTCTCCGCCGCTGCCGGCGTCGCAAAAGGAAAAGCGACAGAGAAAGAGATAGAGGCAAGAGACAGAGACAAGCGACCGAGGCAGAGGCAAAAGCAGAGACAGAACAGAGACAGAGGCGGTGGCGACTGAGAGGCAGGCAGCGTTGGGCGCCAAAAAACGCCGGCTAACGGTAAACGTTACGGCCGCATTCCGTTGCGTTGCGTTGCGCTCTTCGGCTTTTACTCGCACTCGCACTCGTCCTCGTTCTCGGCCTCTCGTTGCAACCCCCAAAATGGGCATTTTTGGCGCAACACCGAACAGGATGCGACGCAAGTTGCAAGAGGCAGGCACCCACACGTGTGTGTGCGTGCGAGGAAACGGAAGTTGGCCCGAAAATGCAGAGGCGCCGACTGCGTTGCAGGCGAAGAGCGAGCGAGCTTAGTTTAGGCCTAGTGTTTTTCGGACTCGGAGGAGCTGGGTGGGCTGTAGAGGGAGAGTATGTGGGGCCACACACCGCCGACCAGTACTCCTTGCCAAAAATTGGGGGGCTTGTCGAGCCAAAGAGGCAGCGAAAATACGGCCGATATTGGCAAGTGGCTCGGGCACGATTTCGAGAGGCTTATCTATCGCAAGTGGTGACTTTTTTTATTGGGATATTGAAAATAAAGGAACTTAGAATCAATTTGAAGATTCTTTCAAATATTTATTAGCTGGTAAGGATTTAGAGATTTTCCTTAAAAATATTATCTGTTAGATATTTTTTTTAGATATTTTACAATGTATTGTATTTTATAAAATAAAAAAATAAATAGATTTATCTAAATTCCAAAAATACAATTAAATACTTCAAAATATCTTGACAAACAAATATTATTAAAATATTTCGATTGTTTAAGAATTTTTGAAATTATTGTAAATTAATTTATGATTTTTATGAAAAATTTTAATGTATATTTAGTGCAGTGATCTTCTCGAAATCCTCAAAAATATCTATCTGCTCTCGCGAACTATCACTCTCCCTCTCCTTCTTTCGCATCTCACGCACACTTGTGAGGAATAAAACTCGGCTGAAAGATGCTTCATTAATTAGTTCCGTTAGGGGTACCTAAGCCCTCCCCCACGCCCCCACAAGCTCCAACACCAACAAAATCCCCACTACGAAGTCAGCTATAGCTCTCTTCGTGCGGCGCTCTCGGCAACAGCGCGTTATCGTCGGTGGCAGCGCAGTCAGCGTCGCTGCCGCTTCGTGCATTGTAAACAAATGCTTAGGCGAAAAACAAGATGTGCGGCGAATTGAATCTCCGCTCCGCTCTCTCATGCTCTCGCTGTCCCTGCCGTCTCTTTGGGGCTTAAGAGATGTTTCTCTTTCTTTGCCCGCAAACGGCATTGCTGCACCTGCACTTTTGGGGGCCAGCAGCAACTATTTTTCTTCTTTTTTCTCGCTCTTGACAAAGGGGCGGATGGGTGATGGCGCGGGGCGGCGGCGATGGCAACTATCGCCTGAGACTGGTCAGCCTCGATTTCATCTCTGTGTGTGTGTGTGTGTGTGTGTGTGTGTGAGTGTACGTGCGTGTGTGTTTGTGCATTTTGATTATTTGTTGTTGCCTTGCGCATTTATAATATGCATAAAATAAAGTAATACAAATCTAGCGAAAAATAAAATTCGCACGGGAGAACGGGCGTGAGCGAGCGAGACGAAGGTAGCGTCAAGGTGAGCGTGCGAGCGAGAGGCCACCTCGCAAGCCAGTCATAAATTATGCATAATTTTTTTCGTGACTGGCAAATGGCGGCTGTTTGGCATTCCCCCTTTGCAGTTTTCAGTTGGTTACAAATAATTACCGCACAATAAACATCGGCCATGAATTGGCACTGCGAAAAGGCAACAAAAACAGTTGAAGAAGGGGCATCGACGATCGTCTCTGATCAGTGCAGTAATTCAGTAATTCAGCATTCAGCATTCAATATTCACCTGGCGATACGCAAATGCGAATTTTAATGGGTCTTATTCGCCCCTTTCCGGTATTCGACGATGGCTAAGTGATACTTTGGCTTATTAATAGCCCTCGAAATAGTTGTGTCTGAATAGACAATTAGGCCTTCGAGTTACCTTAATGATTTGCCTTTAATTTAGGTGTTAATTAATGTTACCGGGTTAAATTTTTGTTAATTTAAATATTTTATTATACAAAAGAAACTATTTTTAAGACAGAAGTAACCTAAATAAACATTTTGCTATTCATATTTCCCAATTTTAATTAATTTCAGGTGGTTTAATGGTCACAGATACTTTTAATATGGATTATTATTGTATTTATATCTTACACTGGTCTGCTTGATATTACTTAGATAAATATTGGGGAACAAGAAAATATCAAATACAGAATTCTGAAAATTTTTCGATCCCTCAGATACTTTTTAGGTTACTTGATGAATTGAATATATAATTTGCTAAATATTTCTGTACATAAAATAAAATTCTTAGTGATCTAATCAATATACCTAGGAATTCCATTATTTTAATGAGTTTTTATGAGATCTGCCATGAATTATGCTTAAATATAAATCATAAGATACTTTTGTATCTCAGTTCTTAAAATACTTTCAATAGCAATGATTTTAGGGGTTCGTAAAGATCTGCCGTTCGAAAGGAATTTTTATAAACTATATTTACATGGTATATATTTTCAAGAGTTACTTTTATAATTCATAAACAATTATTCTAAAAATATATTATTATTAATTATATAAAATGTTTCTTTTAAAATTAAGAAAAAAAGTACCTATAATAAGAGCTTCATCGAATGATTTTATTTTAATTTTAATTTTTTAAACTCAATTATAAATTGTTTTATCTACAAAAACAGTTTAATCTTCTTTTCAAAATAGGATCCAGTTGCACAGTTCTTGGGGTTATGGCAGCAAATGAATTGCAGCAAACAAAATTTTGGATCTAGCGCAGAAACAGGAAAATGCATCACGCATTCTCTAAGTTGTTTGTTGTTGGTCTTGCTTGCTGGGGAAAATGTGGAAAATGGGCAATGGCTGCTAGGCTCGCGACTGCGGAACGCGTTTATACGAAAATTTATGTATTTAACTGGTGACGACGACGCTGACGAGCAAAACGATGACGCGGACGTGAAAGGACATTGGAGATGGACGCAGGGCGCAGAGGAGTTCGTGGAGGACATGGGCTGGGATGTGGATGTGGACGCACGATGTCCAAAAAAGCGACGAAAGCCTCTGCGAAAAGCAAAGGGAGATGGCGACCGTGGGTGTACCGGAGTGTGCGAGTGTATGTGTGTGTGGGTGTGTGTGCTAGTGTGCGGGGAAAGATGACAACATTTGAGCCAAACAGACAAAGTTGCGGCACGGGGTGAGAGGTCGCCGTCTGACCCACACACATGAGTGAACGAACAGGCAAACAAACAAATAAAACGGTTGCCGCGAGTGTGAGGGCACTGAGCGAAAATATTTATTCATAACTTGGTCTTGAGGTAAGATTTTAAGATTGAGGATTAAATCACTTAACTTTACAAGCTTTTATTGTGGGAAAAATCAAGCTTTAGCAAATAGATCCTTGCAGTATTTCTTTCTCTTATAAATTTTACGTAGACGACTATCTGGTGGGTTTTATTTATTTAATTTTATTTAAGGCTTTTATTAAAATTAATACATGTTTTGGCCTTTAATATTTAATTTGCAATTTCACATTGATCGTAGAAATATTACAATTTTGTGGAACCTCATAGAAACTATTTTTCTGGCTCCTTAAATAATAAACTCTACAGATTTCTTTATAAAATATTCTTTAAATTTAAACTCCATTTTTCTCCCAGTGCCCCTGTGTGCCACCATGGAGGTGACCAAACGAAAACAAGGGGGGGTTCAAGGAACAGCAGGCAGGGGCTGTCGTACAGCCAGCGGGGAGATCAGCGGGAAAAAATGTTGCATATTAAAACGCAAATAGAAGAGTGCAACGGCGACAACGGCGACGTTGCAGCTTAGAGAATGCAGAAAATGGGCGAGCCAAAGGACGTGGGTGGCGTTGGGGATGGGGGGCGTGGCACAAGGGTTAGGCCTTTGCGGATTCTTCTTCCTCAGCTGCGGCAGCTCCTTCTCCAGTTCCTGCTCCAGCTCCAGCTGCGGCAGTTGTTGTTCCTACCTTCGACCATGTCTAAAAGTTGGCTTACACACAAAAGCGATGAGCGATGATGCCTCAAATATGCAAAAATGCCTAGCGCAATAAAACCCCCCCGAGGGCTCGGTGCAAAAGGCAATGAAAAAGGGCTTAAAAGCGGGCGTGGAGGTGGACAGGGGACAGTGGACAGTGGACAGTGGAAGTCCTCGCTGACCATCGGGGTTGCAGTCGGTTCAAATCCACACACCGAACTTGGAAATGCAGGCGAACTCTCCGAGTCGCGTTTCGTTGCGTTGCTAACGACGCCGCTGGCTGTCTGATTGGGAAACGAATCGTGGGGGATATGCGATGTGTAGGATATAGGATATGGTATGGGATGGTTTGGGGGAGGTGGGCTATGCCATCTGGGCGGGGGTGTATGCTCTGCTTTAGATTGAGCAGTTGGGGATCAGGTAGAGGGGTGCATGCCACAGACACAAACAGATAGACAGCCGGCCGAGAATGAGAACGAGATGGAGGAGGGACCACGACGACCAGGACGTGGACGAGGACGAGAACGAGACCT